ATAGGAAAACAAAACCAAGAACCATTTAAATTCAAATCAAAACCAAATGACTTTACTTATATGGGCGGGAAGTCGACTTTGGGGCTTTGGGGAGGAATCGAAAAAGGAGTCCGGAAAAGCTCTGGGGTCTGGATCTACCCATACACCACCCCAGAAGCAATAAGCACTACGACCCTTAATTTAAAGATTACTTTTCCCCCCATTTGGTTTTGTTTGCTTTCAATTGTTTTTATCAGTTTACATTTGAAAGTAACAAAACAAGCAACGAAACAGAAAAAAAAAAACCGAATGGCAAACAAATAAAATCCACCCACTCGGGGGGAAGAAGATTTAGCTGTGATTTAGTTGGAGGAATCGCTGAAAAACACATAAACTTTTTGCTCTCTTTGGCATTGTGTTTTATTGGCATTTCTGTCAGCGGAATCGAGGGGATTTCGTTTGGGGCGGACTGTTTCTATTTGTTTCGATTTGTTTGAGCACCAGCTGGGGCCAAGTCCTTGCGCTGAGAGCTTCGATTTAATTGAAACTTTGCTCATTAAATGGCTGAGTGATGAAATGAAAAGTTTCCATAATTTTTCCCCCATCTTGGATCGCGGATGGAAGTCTGAAGCATCATAAGGGAAATCCGTACAGGAGACAAGGTATCCCCAGACATTGAAAATGAAATATAACAAATGATGTCGCACAAGACGATGAGCGGCAGCTTGTCAAAAACACATGTGTCTGTAATGTCATCGAAGTAGGGGAGATGTGTGAAAAATTTGCACAGGAAAAAATTCAAGATATTTTACTACTTCTAACAAGGACATCTATGATGGTTTTCAGAGGACTTTTGATTCATTGAAGCCTTAATAAATAAAGGTTTTAAAGCTTTCTATTATAGAAAAAGATGTCTTTGCAAATTTTTAGAAGACTGAAGGTTCTGAAATTTCTTTCCCATGCACTCACTGATGAAGCCCTCAAAAGTAGGCAATAATAATGATTGCTGGCAAGCTAGAAAAAACCTCTGCTCCAGCTTGGTTTTACTTTCATCCATTGTACTCGTTCTGTTCCACTCTGCTCTGTTACATTTGCGTTGACTGATGAGACAATTTGTCATTTTGCACAGAAGCGACTGGTCCAGACCTCTGGGGGAGTGTGACAACACACCCGTCGGCCGGTAAACTAGTCCTGTCGCAGGACCTTGAACAACTGAGATCATCCCTTCTAAAAGATGCATCAGCTGGCTGGCAAACAATCATAATTCCTGCCCACCTTTTCAGCAGCCAACAGAAGTGAAGTGCGGAAATACAAATACTCACGACTTGACCAAATAGCTGCTGGCCCCAACCAAAGGAACAAAGTGCGATTATCGGTCTTAAAAGAGGCAAAGACCCGGCTATGAATAATTATGAAAAATTTAAGAGCGCACGCACATCATCCAAGGCATAAAATAAAAATTTAATGGCATTTAAGTGGCCTCTGGCAATGTCCTTTATGTGCACAGAGACGCTCAGACCCTCCTTGTCCCCCCGCAGACGGAAAAAAATATATATTTTCTGGCAGGGCACAATTAATATTATGGCGTGGCAGCCAAAGTTGATGTGGCACCTTGCCCCGGCCCCAGCCCCGGCCTTGTGCCGCAAGCACAGGAAGCACTTAGCGTCGCAACATGCGAAATAAAAAATTGTGTTGCCAGCCTTTTAGGGGGTGGTTGCAAGTACGGCATGGGGCCAACAGCCATTGAACTGGCTGGCAAAGGTCGTCGCAGAGTCAGAGTCAGAATCACAAAAATGAAAAGCCAAATAAATAAAAACCGAAACAGAACAGTAAAAATTCTCATAAGTGCTGGGCCATAATTCAAATGGCGCTTTAGAGCCTGTCCAATTACCGTGTCTAAGGAAAATAGCCCCTCTGCCATTGTTCGTTTATATCGCATCGCTTATCGGAGCTGGGCTGTCTGCATATGCCCGGTCTGGGCCTAATTGGGCTAATTTCCAGCCGGATCCGGACTTAAAGCTGCCAACTGAGCTGCTCCTCTGCTCTCTGCTTTCGGTTCCCGGCATCCATCATCCGCGTTGGAGTCGCAAACTTATGCAAAATAAATATGAGAAGTGTACGTGACCAAGTGCGTAATATGCAAAAAGTTGTGCCACGTCCCTACGCCCATCGCATTCCAAATGAATGTCAGCCAAAGGACAAACAAGCTGATACATATACTAATGCCGCCTGGCTGGAGAAAGGAAGCCAGGATGTTGTCTGACAAGTCATGACCGTGTAGGATCCCCCAGCGACGGCATTTGAATTCCTAAGCAGCCCAACCAGCCGTACGATGAAGCTGGGCCAAAAGTAAAAGTTTCCCTTTAATTTCGGACAATTTATTTTAATTTGCAGACGAAAGGAGCTGGCTGGCAGTCTCACTTGCAAATCATGTGGCGTACAATTAGGCGACGCTTTCACTAACAACAAAGCCGGATCGCAAATAATTTGAATGGAGTGACATGGAGACTGCTGCTGTCACCGTTTCGGCTGTGGTCGTCCTCAGAGACTCTCAGCCAGAAGTCGATTTCCCCGGTCGCCCCGACAGCTGCTGAACACGGTGCGTATGATTGATGCAGGCAGGCAGACGCCGCAAACGTAATTTGCAAACTCCCTTGCTCCGCTCGGTTCTTTAGGGACTGCGACAATGAATGAACTTTGGATAGTTTATTGCCATGTTAAAGTTTTACCCTGAAAATAGTGTTTTTTCTAGTTAACCAGTCTTTAAAATGGGAACCTTTTACGGTAAAACCTTGAGAAGCATTTGAAGAACCTGCACTGTATAAATTTTCCACAAAGCATTGCAGTCCATATTCCTCATCCTAAAACAAAAAAAAAATGAAAATAAACTTGTCTATTAAAGTCTCATCGATCTTCATGTTGGCCTTGGTAAATTCAATATCAAGTTCTTCCATTTGCAAGCCAAATTGAAAACATATGTTTCCGCCTTGGCGTTTCCCTTGAACTTAAGACAACACAGCTCCTGGCCGGGATGGCCGGGCAGCTGAAGGAAAGCTACTTAAAAATGTTGCACACGTAGAGCCAATTGTGAGCAAACAGCTCTAGGGGGGTTGGGGGTTATCCTGAGGGTGTGGGGCAGTCAAGGAACTTTGCCGCCATCTTTCGAATTCCCCTGACAGGCTGGCTGGAGGACGCAGCTTCATCAGGCTGGCACTTCCTATTTCCACTTCTACTTCCACATCCGCATGGTCCACATCGGCATCATCATCATCGTCGTCGTCCCGCACATCATGAGGCTCATCAGCATCAACTTGTCTGTCCCTACATCGCCCCAAGAGCTACTAAATTTCACGCAATCACGACCACACACATCCACAGAGTCCTTCGTCCTGCTTCAATATGCTCGGCTCTTCTTTTTTTTGTGCACTGGCACTGGCAACTGCCTAATAAAATATTTAGTTGCCGGGAGTCATTGACAAGTTTGCAGACAAGGTTCTTGGGTTTTTGTGGTCTCTTTACATTGCTTGATGAGACAGGTACGAGGCTGTCAGGTGTCAGGAGTTGGGGCTGCACTGAAACAAAAACGAGGTAGCAATTGGAGTTCTTAAACTGAACGGGGCTTAGAGGTGAATGAAATCAAAGCATAGTCTTAGGTCGGATAATTTTTTAAAATGTATTTCTTGATTTTTCTTATTAATAATTTCGCATGTTCCTCCCTCCTTTTTCCGACACAACCCCGAATCTATTAAACAGCTATTGAAAGCTTTTTGCCACAGGATATAATGAAAAATTCAAAAACCAATATTTAAAAGGCCATCAAATCAAACAAAGTGCAACAATGTGTGAACCCCAAATCAGAAGCGCTCAGCAGGCGCTTCCTGGTATCCTTTTTGGGGAAAGGCAACGTTTAATATCTCATCAAGTGTTACGCTTTACGACTACTTAAAACCACATAAAAAACGAAACAAAATAAAACTGTGGCGAGCTGTGTGGAAAATGGATTCCGAAAAAATCAACGCCCAAAGTCGTAAATTTCAGCAGAGGACTGCTATAGCTGGTGAAAGGAAAGCGAAAGGAAATGCAAAAGGAAAAGCTGCGGCAACGAACGGCAAAGGACGAGCGACAAACAGCAGCAAAAGATTTAATGATGCAGCATGATTTGCGCATAAAAAAGAGAAAGAGGGAGATACTATAGAATAGAATCAAATAGCATTCAATGGGAGGCACTGGGCGTTGGCGTTACGGGGGTCCTCGCAGCTTGACAGACAGTTTAAGTCCTGGGCAAGCTTTGATAAAATGCATCACCAACACAGCAGCAACATGCATATATGTATGAGGTTCTGTATTCTAACATTTAAGTTGCGCATAAAATGTTAAAGGACTCTCCATACATGTGTGTTTGCCGAGAGGCCCTTTTGGGGATGGAGAAAGTAGAGGTCCTAGCATAGTTGGCTGGGCAAATGAAAGTTATATATGCATTGAATCCGTACATACATATATACATATTTATATAGAAAGATGTACATGTACAGTCGATTTTGTATGCATGACAGCTTGGTAGCAAAAGGGTGAATAAACCCTGAATACCCATATGAGTAACACAGTAAAAGGCCGTTTAGGAAGTTCCAAAAATAAATACAGGCAAAGGATACTGCCACTAGTATATGTATGTATTTGTAGTTAAAATAATATTCTCAATATAAAAATATATATTCTCTAATAAAAGAAAAGAATAAGTTCTTTGTTGGATGGTGAAAAGTCGTATTATACTCTAAAGTCAATTATTATAGTGCGATAATTATCGTTCATATTTAATAATTCAAGACCTTATAAAAAACTACAATTCTTCCAAAGATTAAGCTTAAAAAGCTCTTAAACAAAGCTCTCACAGAGAAGCTTAGATCGTTTTACAAACTTATGAAATTAAAAGAGAGGAAAAAAGCTCAAGCAATTTGTGAAATTACAATCGAAAGCTAAAAAATCGAATCAAACAAACCTCACATGCTCTCAAGTTCTGAAGAGGTTACGACTGATAAACATATGGCCTATCCAGTATAAATTAGAGGGTCCTACGCTTAGCAAGCTCAGTTCTCAGTAAACTATCAACTTCAAAACTCAACAAACAACCACAACAAACAATCATGGCTGTCTTAGAAATAGGTTTGGCCCTTCTGGCCATTATCGTGCTCATCTACTGGTGGTCTATTGCCACATTCAAGACCTTCGAACAACGGAGCCTGCCCTTCGAGAAGCCATGTCCATTTTTTGGAAACACGAAACAATCGGCTCTCCAAAAAGTCTCCCACCAAAAGGAAATAACCGAGTTCTACTTGCGAACCCGTCACCAGTGAGTTAATTTTTATATTAAATTCAAAGCTTTTTTAATAAAATATATTCAAACCTCAGTAAGGTCGTTGGCTTCTATAATCTGCGCACCCCAATGATCCAAGTGAACGATCCCGAACTGATCAAGAAGATCTTGGTCAAGGATTTCGATTACTTCCCCAACCACCAGCTCTTCATAACCACCAACGAGCGTCTGCTGAACGACATGGTCAACACAATGAGGGACCAGCGTTGGAAGAAGATGAGGAACACCCTGACCCCAGTCTTCACAGCGGCCAAGATGCGGAGCATGTTTGTCCTAATGAACGATAGCTTCGGGGAGTGCGTCCAGCACTTGAGGACCCAGGGGCAATCCCAATCCGTGGAGGTGGACATGAAAGTTCTCTTCCAGAAGCTAACCAGCGATGTAATCGCCACAACGGCATTTGGGCTAAAGGTGAACTCTTTTGAAGATCCTACGAATGAGTTCTATCATGTGGGCTCCACGCTGATTTTCTCCAGCGGAATACAGTTCTTCAAGTTTACCCTGTCCGCCCTCATGCCTAAGCTGTTTACAGTAAGTACTTCCGGAACTATAGTTCCTTGACTTCATTATAACCTTCTATATTCTTGCAGTTCTTTAACATGGCGATTTTTGATGGCGCCAAAGTGGACTACTTCGTCCGCCTTGTGATAGATGCCATGAAGCAGCGCGAGAAACTTAACATAACTCGACCCGACATGATCCAATTGATGATGGAGGCCAAGAAGGAGTCGACTGTGAATTGGACCGATGACGAGATTGTTGCCCAGTGCTTCATATTTTTCTTTGCTGCCCTTGACAACAACACCAATCTGACCTGCATAATTGCCTACGAGTTGCTCCACAATCCCGACATTCAGCAGCGATTATACGAGGAGGTTCTGAACACGAAGGAATCTCTAAACGGCGGACCAGTTACCTACGATGACGTCCAGAAAATGACCTACATGGACATGGTGGTATCGGAAACACTACGGAAGTGGACACTTGCGCCCACTGTAGATCGGGTCTGTTCCAAGGACTACACTCTTACCGACGAGGACGGTACAAAGCTCTTTGATTTCAAGGCCGGTGATCGTGTCTCCATTCCCATAGCCGGCCTGCACGGAGATGATCGATACTTTCCGGAGCCCAGAAAGTTTGATCCCGAGCGGTTTAGCGAGGAACGAAAGGGTGATATAGTTCCCTTTACTTTTATACCTTTTGGTGCCGGACCTCGTAGCTGTATAGGTGAGTAATATATAGATAAGATTAGTTTTGTTGATCGATACTGACTATATAATGCTTTTGCAGCCAATCGATTTGCCCAAATGCAGGTAAAGGGCATGCTTTACCACTTATTGCTTAATTTTAAGATTGAGGCCTCTCCGAGGACTCTCAAGGACATGTGGGAGTCGGCACGTTTTAGTCTGACGCCCAAGTCTGGATTCTACATGCAATTGGTACCACGAAAGTAAACCAATTGGATTAACGAAAAGACTGGATTTGTGATCAAATAACCTATGAATGTTTGAATATTTAACGCAACTATGACCTGGAAATAATAGTATTCTAATGATGGATTTCAATATACATCACTTGCAAGTGAATTTGTCAGTACAAAATATCGTTTATAAAGTCACCTTAAAATGTATAATTAAATATTTTTTATTAAATTATTAAATTAAATATAAATAAATGTATGTATGTATATTGAAAGTTATATACGCAAAATGTGTTTATTATTATGAAGGATGGAAAATATATCGTAAGTATTGTTACTAGTCCTTTGGTTCTAATTTTTGACTGGAAAACGAATACTTACCAATTAATTTCAGTGTATTTTACTTTAATAAAATATTACCGTCATAAATTAACTATTTTCAAAAGAAAAACGAAATTTATTTTCTCTTTTTTTTTCATTTTACACATGTTTTCAAAATTGACAAGCCTCTTCGAAAAAACCAAACAAAACAAAAAACTGTCCAAATCATTTAATTGTTTTTTTGGAATCTGGTATAAAGCCTACGGCCAATTTTATGTTTTAACCGTTTGGTCATCATTATTGGGGTTTGCTTTTAGTTTAAACTGGCCGCCGGTCAATATGCTAAAATATTCAATCTCCGGACCTTAACAGCAACACTAACGTGTATTTAAAACCGCTTGGACAGCGAAGTTTACATCATATTCACCGAGACTGACAAGACAAACCGGAGTTCTAAGGGGATGACATAATATCAGACCTGGGAGGCTGATTATAATGTTTATTGGAATGGACAGATTTTATGACCCAGCAAGCAGAACTTTTAAAACTCCTCAATTAAAATTAATTTCTGGGACATTGACAAGGCCAATACGTAATTATACATAAGAAAATATGATATTAGTATCATATAAAAATTTCATTCATATTAAAGTGCTAACACCCACGACCTTTAAGACAATTTAGATAAGAGTTGTGTACCCTGAATAATCCTAGGTAGTAACCCATTTATATGATTCACCACTAATTCAAAGTGCTACCCCTATCGTTCATACATTTTTATTTTAAAATAATTTGAGGTTCAATAGATAAGATTCCTCCTACAATATTACAGATAATTTTTTTTGATTAGAACCTAATAGATAGATATGCCTTGCGTTGGTACAACATTTGTTTCTAACAAACATTCTCAATTTTTCGCTCTCTAAATGTGAAGCTTTAAAAATAATCTAAAACAAAAAAGTAAAACCCCATGAGAGCAGTCGATAAGTGTCCAGTGTTTATGTGTTCGCAACGAACATTGCCAGCCGGCTAAGGAGCGATATCTCTCTGTGGCAGAACGTGATTATTTATTATTAACCTATACATTTACTCCATTGCGGGTATAAATTCACGAGTTCTCCAAGTGCGAAGCTCAGTTCGCTACAATTCTACATAAAAGGTGGTACATAGCCTTGCCATGGCTCTCCTGGAAATTTTTTTCGGCCTTCTGGCTGTGGGCTTTCTGATCTACAAGTGGGGTATTTCATCATTCAACGCTTTCGAGGATCGGAAACTGCCCTATGAAAAGCCCTGGCCATTTTTTGGAAACATTGCCAGCTCGGCCTTACAAAAGATGTCTTTTCAGAGGCAGCTGAGCGAGTACTACAATCGGAACCGGCAACAGTACGTACAAGGGATCTCACAAAGAATTTCATTAATTTCATAATTTATATTGGAAACTTTAGCAAAGTTGTAGGTCTGTTTAACATGCGAACGCCGATGGTCCAGATAAATGATCCTGAGATCATTAAAAAGATCTGTGTCAAGGATTTTGACCACTTCCCCAACCACCAGACGTTCATCAACTCCAAGGAGCGCCTGCTGAACGATATGCTCACGGTGATGAAGGACCAGCGTTGGAAGCGCATGCGGAATACCCTGTCCCCGGTCTTCACGGCTGCTAAGATGCGGAATATGTTCACCCTGATGAACGACGGATTCGCCGAGTGTCTCCAGCACCTGAGCTCTCAGTCCAATTCAGAAGGTTTCGAGGTGGACATGAAGGTGCTTTTTAACAAGCTCTCCAACGACGTAATCGCGACAACTGCTTTCGGGCTAAAGGTCAACTCCTTTGATAATCCCGGCAACGAGTTCTACGAGATCGGTCAGTCATTGGTGTTCTCTAGAGGAATACAGCTGTTCAAGTTCTTCCTGGTATCTCTTCTGCCAACGTTGTTCAATGTGAGTCACTCCTTATTATCAATATGATTCTTGCCTAACTTACGACTATCCGAACCCTGTAGTTCTTCAAAATGACCATTTTTGAAAGCAGTAAGGTGGAATACTTTGTTCGTTTGGTAGTGGAGGCGATGAAGTATCGCGAGGAGCACAACATCAACCGTCCCGACATGATTCAGCTCCTCATGGAGGCCAAGAAGGAAGGCGAGGACAACTGGACGGATGACGAAATCGTGGCCCAGTGCTTCATTTTCTTCTTTGCCGCCTTCGAGAACAATGCCAATTTGCTCTGCACCACCTCCTTCGAGCTGTTGCACAACCCGGAAATCCAAGAACGCCTCTACGAGGAAGCAAAGGAAATCCAAGAGTCCTTGAAAGGCGGCTCTCTCACCTACGACGCGGTCCAGAAGATGACCTACATGGACATGGTGGTGTCGGAATCGCTTAGAAAATGGACCTTGGCAGCTGCCACCGATCGCTACTGTTCCAAGGACTACACCCTCACCGACGACGATGGCAAAGTGCTGTTTGACTTTAAGGTGGGCGACAGGGTCAGCATTCCGATTGCAGGACTCCACCGGGACGAAAAATACTTCCCGGATCCTCAGAAATTCGATCCAGAAAGATTCAGCGAGGAGCGTAAGAATGAATTGGTTCCCTACACCTACTTGCCGTTCGGCGTGGGTCCCCGTAACTGCATTGGTGAGTTAATCTTTCTGTCTATCTAGACAAGATTGGAGTATTATACCCTTTCCCTTTGTAGGTAATCGCTATGCCCTGATGCAGGTCAAGGGAATGCTGTATAACCTGATTCTGCAGTACAAAATCGAGCCATCACCGAGGACCATTAAGGATCTTTGGGCTTCTGCCCGTGGTTTTAATTTGACGCCCAGATCCGACTTCTGGATCAAATTGGTGCCGCGAAAATAATTTTAATTAAAGACTGTACTTTTTGTTAAATAAAATTATTGCACATTACAATTCTTACAAATTTATTTATCAAATAACATGTTGATTCAATAGGACAAGTTTTAAATATATTTTAAAAATGTGGAAAATCGTTTTCATTTAAAAAGGAAGTTATCTGATTGATTTCAGGGAGATTTTTTAGAAGATTCAGACGAAACAGGCTTAATATGTCCTGAACGACATATGTCCATGTACATAATATATCCTAGTTGGAACATTTTAAAAACTAATCGTTGGTTTCCATTGGTTGAATTGATTTCGGTTAGGTCGAGCTTTACTATTTGGAAATGCAATCTATTATGTTTCAGTATCTGTTACTTGACAGAAAAATAAATTTAATAAGCGAATAAAATACCACATATTTCAAATAATCAAGGATGTGTTATATTTCATCACTTTTCATTTTTATTAATAATTCCTTTGTGTAAAAAAATTAGTTTTAAAGTCCAACTAATTTACGGACAGACCTTTTAGAGCTCTAATTTTATGACAAAATTATACTTACCTTATATGGTACAATCGATATTGCATTGATAAACATTTAATAAATAATTTTACACATTTCATCACCCAGTCGAAAGTACTGATAACACTCATAAATCTTATCAATCTTAAGTACTTTTAGAACCCAAGTACTTGACCACCATGCTTTCCAAAATTGGGGTTTTTTTCATCAGTATTGAAATATTTGTATTTACATGTATTAATTACTGAATGAAAACCATACATGTTACTTGCTCACACCTTTGTATGTCCAGATTTATTTACTTTTGAATAATGGTTTGTTTTTATAGATTATATAGAGATAGGTATAGAGATACCTTACAGCTCTCAGAACCCGTAGACTCTCTCAGTATTTTTTAGCTTTATAAACAAACAAAAATGCCCATAGAGAGCCATTCTAAGTGCTCAGCTTTTGCGGACTGACAACAAAAATAATCTATCACAACCAGCCTCAACTTTTTCGATTTGACAAACCGCGATAGCTCTCTCGAAAACAAGGTAGATACTTGATGCACACATTATATACGATTAGAACGGGTATAAATAGCCGTGTCCCGCAGTTGTAGAACTCAGTTTGAAATAATTGAACAAACTTGTGAAACGTGATTGCCTTGCCATGGCACTCCTTGAAATAAGCGTCGCCATTTTGGTACTTGGTTTTCTGCTCTACAAGTGGGGCACCGCCACCTTCAGGACCTTCGAGGAAAGAAAGCTCCATTATGAGAAGCCAGTCCCATTCTTGGGCAACATGGTTGGATCGGCCTTACAAAGATCGTCGTTTCAGAAAGATCTCTCTGAATTCTACGATAAAACTCGCCAGCAGTAAGTTTCTATGGATTTCACTACAAGTTCAGAAATTTCATAATGTTTTTTGTTTTAAATCCCAGCAAAGTTGTGGGCTTCTTCAATCTGCGTACCCCTATGGTCCAGATAAACGATCCCGAACTGATCAAGAAGGTCTGTGTCAAGGACTTTGATCACTTTCCCAACCACCAGTTCTTCCTCAGTATCAATGAGCGACTAATAAACGATATGCTGAACGTGATGAGAGACCAGCGGTGGAAGCACATGAGGACTACCCTTACTCCTGTTTTTACGGCCGCCAAGATGCGGAATATGTTCACCCTGATGAACGATGGGTTCGCCGAGTGCCTCCAGTACCTGGGCGCCCAGTCTGACAAAAAAGGATTCGAGGTGGACATGAAGGTGCTGTTCAACAAGCTCTCCAATGATGTGATCGCCACCACGGCTTTTGGGCTAAAGGTCAACTCCTTCGATAATCCTGGCAACGAGTTCTACCAGATCGGACAGTCGCTCGTTTTCTCTCGCGGAATCCAGTTCTTTAAGTTTATGCTGTCCCTCCTTATGCCCAAAGTATTCATTGTAAGTAGATCCTCTTCGATCGTGGAGCTATTACTTTCATATACGTTTTATTATCTATTAGTTCCTTAAAATGAAAATTTTTGAGAGCAGTAAAGTGGAATACTTTGTGCGTCTGGTGGTGGGAGCCATGAAATACCGGGAGGAGCACAACATCAACCGCCCCGACATGATTCAGCTCCTCATGGAGGCCAAAAAGGAGGGGGCAGAAAATTGGACGGATGACGAGATCGTGGCCCAGTGCTTCATTTTCTTCTTTGCTGCCTTCGAGAATAACTCCAACTTGATGTGTACCACCTCCTTTGAGTTGTTGCACAATCCCGACATCCAGGAACGACTCTACGAGGAGGCAAAGGAAATCCAAGAGTCCTTGAACGGCGGCTCTCTTACCTACGACGCTGTCCAGAAGATGACCTACATGGATATGGTGGTGTCGGAATCCTTGAGAAAGTGGAGTCTAGCTGGAGCCACGGATCGCCATTGTGCCAAGGACTACACCCTCACCGACGATGATGGCAACGTGCTATTTGACTTCAAGGTGGGCGACAGGGTCAACATTCCCATAGCAGGCCTCCACTGGGACAAACGCTACTTCCCGGACCCTCAGAAATTCGATCCTGAAAGATTCAGTGAGGAGCGTAAGAATGAAATAGTTCCCTACACCTATTTGCCGTTCGGCGTGGGTCCCCGCAACTGCATTGGTAAGTTAATCTTTCTGTCTATCTAGACAAGATTCGAGTCTTATATCCTTTTCCTTCGTAGGAAATCGCTATGCCCTGATGCAGGTCAAGGGAATGCTGTACAACCTGATTCTCCAGTACAAAATCGAAGCCTCTCCCCGCACTATCAAGGATCTCTGGGGCTCGGCTCGAGGATTCAACATCACCCCCAGGTCTGGCTTTTGGATGCGTTTGGTGCCGCGAAAATAAAATACTCAACAGATAAGAAGACATTTCGTTGTTGTAGAATAAAATACACACATATATTTTACTTTTGATTATGTTTCCATACACACTTGTTGATATTTTGTAGCTTAAGACGAGTAAACAAAAAGTATAAACTTACTCTTATTGTATATTTTTGTCATCTCTTAGCAAGAGCTTGAAAACACATTGTATCTTTCAGCCGGGTATTCTGGACATGTTCGCTTTATATAATAGTTTCCCTTTCACGCGGCGGAGAAAGCAGGAAAGTGACATAAAACATTTGGCCGACGAACAAAAGAATAATAAATTACATTTGTTTAACCAAATGACGAAAAAAAGAAACCGCAAATATTGTAAATGTTAATGGTTGTGTTTTGGATGGAAGAGTTGTTCGATTTTTGGCGTTCTGCTCCGCCATTTGAAATTATTGCACATTTTGGCTAACATTTACAAACTGATTTAGATAATACTTTCACTCTTGTGGAGAATTCTTTTGGCCATCGATTGGACTTCGTTGGAATGTATACGAGTAGTTATTGTTCGTTGATTGCGTTGTTTGTGGTCTCTGCTGATCGGTTCTGCTTACATCTAAAACTAGAATACCTAATTAGTTATGCTAATGCTCCGGGCCCTCGCGGCTCCAGATAAATATATGCAAATGCGAATATGATATAGTTTTAGCTTTGTACAACGATTTCTCTCATCATCTGTGAGTCATATGTGTCTCTTCGTTCAGTGTATAATACATCTCGATATGTTATTTACAATCACGACTCCCTCCAGCACCTCAAACGCTGTACAGTCTGCCGTTGCTGGAGTGCCTCGCCTTGCCCAGCCCGAAGAAGTTCCACACTCGCCGCAGGCAGCCCGGCTTCTTCTCCGGCAGCATCAGGCTCTGCTCCTCCAGGATCGTGTCCAGGATGTAGTAGCTGCTCAGGTTGAGGGGCGGAGGCGGCAGCATGGGAGGTGGTCAAGAAATAGTGCAGTTTTTGCTCTCGTGCATGATCGCTGCTCCGGAGCCTGTCAGCATTCCGGTTCCCAGTCCGTTGCCGGCCGGAATGGAGGGGTCCTGCTGCTGGGCCAGCTTTTTCTTGCGCTCGTAGGCCAGGGCGTCGTTGGGCACGTACGCCACCCGCACTCCGCCGTAGTGCTTGCGAGCTGGCAGCCGGTAGACGTAGTCGTCCATGTCGCTGGAGGAGCTGGACGAGCACGTGGAGCAGATGCTGGCCACATCGCAGTTGTCCAGGTTGTTCAGCAGGTTCATATTCAGGGCCCCGGGTCCGGCCTGCGTTTGGGCGTTGTGCAGTCTGAGGTTCGTCTGGTTGATCTGCATCTCCGAGGAGCTGCGCGACTGGTTGCGGCGCCTTCGCCTCCGCCGGGCATTCGAGTTGTCGGTATAGCTCTTGGAGCGCGACATTGTGTCCTGGACACTGTGGAAACGTACCTCTTTAAGTGGCCGATTGTCCAGCTGCTCCTCGTTCTCCCCCGCATCCGGGTCCATATCCTGCCGCTCCTCTGGGCGGTTCTTTCCGGCGAAGAGCTGTTCGTAGCCGTCGTGGGGCAGCTCCCCATCCGGATCGTTGTCCAGCTCCAGCTCGTGGGCCAGCTCCTGGGTACTCTGCGTCAAATCCGAGTTGCTCGGCGAGTTCAGGTTGATCTTGTCTATGCTCTGGTAGCTGTGCGAGTCCTCCGCCTTGGAGAGCAGCATGTCCGGCATGGAGTTGGTCAGTGTCTGGGTGTCGCCGAAGATGGACTTGTCACCGGCACAGATATTGTCCAAGCTGATGCCCAGCTCGGTAAGGTCAATGGGCGGTGGATGGGCAGGGCGAGGCATACCCGACACAGCTCCACCGAGTAGGAGTTCCGCCACTCCGGCAGCTTCCATGCGCTGACGCTCCTGTCGCTCGAGAAGATCCCCAGCACTGCCCGTTCCCTTGGGATGATGATGACCGTGGTGACCTCTTCCCCGCTCACGCTCACGCTCTTTTTCCCTCTCTCCACCCCTTCGCGGTGATCTGGCTATCTGGCTGGAGGTGGAGGCGCGGTGGGTGGGTCGTAACTGGGGCCCGGAGCTCGTGTCCGACGGCGTCGGGGGCTCGCCCTTGCTGCAGGCAATGGAGCAGTAAATGGTGCCCCGGCGGGGAAGGAACGGGCGACCCAGCAGCGAACAGCGGCAGGTGCAGCAGCTGAAGCACTGGTCCGTCGCATGCCAGTGCTGTCCGTCGTGGCTCATCTGACCCTGGTCCACGCCGATCACCTCCCCGCAGTAGTCGCAGTACTCTGCGAACATTGTGTCGAAGCAGGCCAGGCAGTAGGGCTTCCCCTCCCGCATGATGTACCGCTGGCCACCCAGCTGGTGCTCGCACTCCTGGCAGGCGAAGTGCTTCATGTGCCAGGTTCGACCCTCGGCCTCTGTGCACTCGTCGGAGAATATGATCTGGGGGTGAAAGATGAAGAGTGGGAAAGGTCAGTGTAAGATGGGACCGCAGTGGAGAATATGCAAGGACTAAAGACGTAAAAGGTTAAAGGTCACCTAAGCTATACAGAAATCATCACTTACCTCGTCGCAGGCGGAACAACGCGGCTTCTGGGTCTCGGCATGATGCCGGCCGCAATAGAGGTTTCCGTCCCTCTGGAAATAGATGAGGTCCACCAGCAGCTCCTTGCACACACTGCACACAAAGCAGCCAGGATGCCAGCACAATTGGGCGCCCAGTCGCTGGGCAAAGACCACGATATCACCGCCTGACAGCGACTCCTCGCACTGAAAGGACACGAACAAGTTGGGGGGAAATCGCATAAATAAGAGAAATATGCTAAAGTTCTTCGAGCGATAAAAATCTGCAGCGTCTGGCTGCTGTTCCGGCAAAAATATTTAAGCGACTATAAATGCTAAATAACGGTAATAAAACGCTTAAGCCCAACACCCCACCGCCTTCCCAGAGCCGCCCCACCGCCGCCACTGCAAAATGCCGCAAGCCCGGAAAAGGACCTGTCTCTTGCTCGGTCAGGACCTGGTGCGTTGTCCTGCTCTGTGGCTTTGCCCTCCAACCTCCCCAGCACCCCTGCTCCGATTTTCCAAAGCGGAAATCATGCAAAAATAGCTGCCGGCCATGAGCCCGTGCAAAAGTGCTCCCTGGTGGATAAGGAAACGCTTTAAGTGAGGCTGCCTCTGGTTTCTGGTGGCTGCCACTGAAAATTTTTAGAAAGCCACGCCGGGAAACGCTCCTTTTAATAGCTGCTGGAAAGCCACGAAACCCAAGACTCGTTAACTTTAAACGCGTTCGCATAATGAACTCATTTTAGACCGAAAGGGTGCAGAGGCCCTGCGACGCTTTCTTGGCCCTAAATGGAGGTCCTAATTGGTTTGTACTAAATGGTACTCCTTTAAGCAAAACATTTGGGGTTCCCGTTTTTTTTATTGGGTATTTTAGAGGCAGGAAAATGTTTGAAAAAGGTAAAGTTTACAAATAAAAATAAATATTATTAGGAGAGTAAGGCCTAGAACTTGGAAAGGGAACTGTATTGAAAAATGTTGATGCAGAAAACTCTTTAAACCAATCATACACTTCTTCTTAGCCCCAAACCTTAAGTCTCTGCCAATTTGCACCCTTATTTCAGCCTCTTGGCAAGATTTCACGAAAGTGTCTCCTTTTTTGAGGTTTCTGAAGAAGGCAAATTACCCGGAGCCACAAAATGGCAACCACAAGAGGCTCTGGGCCTCCTGCCAGTCAGCCTGCAACCACACAGGAAAATAATTCGCAGAGAAATTAAAGCTATAGAAGACTTTAGTGGCAGCTACTACAACTTTTACTGAAAAATGTAATAAGTCCTATTCAGTAATTGGAATATTTATTCCACAATAAAGAACATCTCCAGCTTGGTGGGTATCTTTAAGAATATATTTTTTTTCAGTACGTAGAAGCGACGCCACTTTGCTTGCGCAGCTCCTTAACTTTCCGGACTATTAAACCTCAGTGCGGGCAACGCCACCATCCTGTGCGATGTGTCCTGCTCCTGCCGCGATATTCTCCGCAATCCTGGCGTCCCCCGCAATCAGCATTTACTTTTGCAAGCCATTAAGCATTGACAGGCGAAAGCTTTCGGCGCTGACTGTACAGGGTTGATAATTTCCGGGGGCATAAGTAGCTTCCTTCTTTGCGTCGTTAATTGTTTGGCAACTTCAAAAATTTATCGCCTTGGGGCAAGAGATCCATAAAAACCCCGGGAACTGCGCACTTTAATTAGGCAGTCCGCCCACGCCCCCATGCCGCCCATTGTTCATGGCTAATGACGCATTGAAGCCGGAATGGACTTGGCCTTGCACTTTGTCCTGGCTAACCGCAGAAACTCCAAGGAAAACTTTTTCCCCAGGAAGGGCTTTAAGTAGTTTCTGTGGCCAGGAACTGAGTGCAAAAAGTTTCCGGCGCGTACAGAAGCTTAGTCCTGGATCCAATCGATTGGCATTCCAATCGGCCAAGTCCGCTCCGGCATTGATTAGTTTTTCCTGAAAATCTGTGCACTTAAAACGACATTTTTCATCTCGTCCGGGCCCGGCAGACCCGGCCCGGACCGGGTAAATGTCATGTAAATAAAAGCAATCGCTGCTCATTTATCTTATCAATCCAATTAATCCCAGTTGCCTGTTTGCTATTTGCTTTGGCCCGGCACTCTGCGCCAGACAATTATGCGATTGACAAATTGTTGCTGGCGGAGCTGTCGTGGCACCTAAACGAACCCAGTTGACCCGCCTTGGCCGGGAGGAGTGTCCTTGCTAACCCATTTCGTGTCCGGATTAATCCAACTCCGCTCTCGCCCTGCCAGACATCCACCGAGCTGCCGCCAGTCCCCCCAAAAGCAAGCAACTCAAATTATTAATGACGCTCGTTATCATGCCCTTTTCAGTACATAAACTTTTCGCTTAACAGCCAGTGAGCTGGCTCACCTTGCTCCCTCAGCTTTTCTTTTTGTTTAGATGTTGCTACCTGGGTTGGAAAATATATATATAATATGACTTTAGTACATTTTGTTCGCCTCGGAAGTGCCGAGTTTGAGATGGCTTTTCTTGTAATTATTTCATTGTTGCCAGGACGACCTTTAGTGTCACATCCTTGTCAAAACTTCAGTTTCCGCTCGCTCGTTGCTGTTCGTGTGGAAAATCTGTCAAGCAGTTGGCCCACCCCCCTCGGCCTGGTGTTGTCCTCCGAATCCATTATTTTTTGGCAAAATCATTGCCAGTTGGCTGGGACGACACACGTTTGCGACTCACTTACGCCTGACTGACTGCGAGAGCTTCCTACCCTTCGGGATCATTCAGCGTTTTCATAAATTTTCCCCCATAATTTCCCTCATACTTTCCACGCCATTCGATTCGATGGCCCAGGGCCCAGGCCTTTGTTCGCATTTTAACGTCCGTTTAGCAAGTCAGTTATGGTCTGTGAATTTTAAGCACTTTCTCTGGCAGGGGTCTGGAGAAGGTGAAAGATGGAAGATGGCTAACCCCAGATTTTCCAAACCTTTTTAAAGCTTATCGGATTTTCAAGGGTATTGAATTTTTTGGCAACGGCCACCAAGATATGATGAGTTATTTTTAAACCCAATGATAAGATAGTACAATACTGATTTCATTTTATAAATAATGTTACTATTTTAAAGATATTCCTCTTCTATCTCTTTGATATTTCTTTGCAAATAAAACAATGCACCTTCTTGACCATTCCTACTGGCTTCTAATGAACTCCAACCTCAGGGAAGTGTTTGCAGAAGTTCGCACGACTCCTAATAAACCAAAGTTGTCTGCCAATTTGGAGAGGCTAAATAAAATCAGACACACGCATTCGCCTCCGGGCCAGTCCCTATCCGGACCAGCCAGATAGTGAAATCCCATCCGCCCGCACACGTAGCAGACAGATTCCCGGAGACCGAGGCCCCAGACACGCAACATGCGGCATAAAGTTTTTAATAAGTTTTACGAGTGGTGGCGAATGTGAGCACAATAAAATCTAGCTGGCAACCAACTATCTGGCCAGGAAGCTCCACAAATGGCCAAGTGTGCATCGAGATTCCGGTGTTGAACTTCGGGGTCGAAAGGAAGAGTAAAGTCCTCCAACTGTCAGCTAATAACAATGCAAATTTTTCAGCCAAGACTGTGAAAGGATAGCTGCCAGTGGCTACCAAATGCCACCTCTACTATTTCATGATAATGCACTTGGCCAAAATCCAATTACCACTTCAAGTTTCTTCTGGCAGATTATCTGAGGAAGCCAAAGTTTGGTAAGTTCTTTAGGCCAGCATTTACTTTAATAAGTATTTTAGTTAGTAATTTTATACATTATTAAGACAAGAATTTTTTCTCGGTGTTCTATTGTGCTTTAATGCCGTTTCATTGCGTCTTTGGCTGGGCAACTGGGCAACTCCATTCACTTTTCCTGCGAACCAAAAAAAAGGAAGGAAAACTGGTGCCAAGAGGAAAAACATTGGGTTGTGCTGACTCTCTTAGCCTTTATGTTGTCAGAGCCAGCCAAGTCCGAGCCAAGTCAGTGCAATTGTTTCTGCAACAACGTTTTTCATTTCATTCAGCAACCCTCCTCGTATCGCCAAAGTGCAGCAGCACTTTGCTGTTTGCTGGAAGTGTACTTAATGAAATCTTTTTGTCATCTTTTACTTCGAGACATTTGAAAGTTGCCAACACCGTTTTCCTCCATTTCCACCCCCTCCCCAATCCCAACTCATTGTTTTCCCGGCCATTGTCAATTTTTTTTTGCTGCCCCTTCTCGGCGGGAAAAGAACCTCTTCTGGTGCAAAAGTTTGCCCGGCCAGGCTGAAATGAAATCGAAACGACTCTTCATCCTCGTACTTTCTGCGCATAATAAAATGCAAATTTTTGCAACAATTAAATGTGCGAGCGGTGCTGAGAGGCGGAGTGGCTGGAAAAAAAAAATTGTTTTCAAACTTCAACTTGAAACTTACCCCCTTGCAGGGTCGCTCGTCGGACAGCAGGCGGACGGCCCCGCGACCCAGGGCCTCCCGCTTCCTTTGGGCCGAGAAGATGCGCAGCTCCTTGCGCTCCTCGTCGCTCAGCGAGTGGCAGTAACGCACCTGCAACAGACACGGAGACGGTGAAAAGTTGCCTTACTGTATTCCAGAATTTTAATTAAAAGAACTCAAAAGGCAGTGGCAAGTTTTTTAATCTTTCTCCGACATTATGAAGGGTTTTCTTTACAGTCTCTATTCAAATGCCCGCCCCAGGGTAATTATAAATTTTGTCACGACAAAAGCGACTTTCGGGCCACAAAATCTCAAACAGAATACGTTAATTTTGAAAGTTGTAGAGCATTAATTATGCAATTTTTACTTATCTATAAAGGTAGCGAACAAAAATTAATATATGTTGTTAAGGTTTTATATGGTGTTGTGTTTTAAAGCTAAGCTAGTGGGTTTCTAAGACTTTAAAGTATTTGGAAACTGCCTCTAACCATCATTAAGTTCCCATTAAGCTTCTGTTTTCTTTTTCGATTGTCCTGATGGTTTTTTTTGCCAATACTCACTTCGTTATCTTGCGGCGGCAGCTGGTGCAACAATTGCTTAACACGATACTTTTCGCCGGGACTGTTGACGTAGGGCACTTTGTCGTCCGGCAGTTGGCTGAAGTACAAGCGGACCTGCGAATTAAAAATAGGAAGTGACCATCGAATTAGCTTCCGCTCAAACTGTAAAGCTTAAAAAAATCAAATTGTTTAAATCATAAAGTATTTGACAAGAGTATGGGGGGGAAAAACTGTTGTCACGCCCACAATGTCGTGGAAAAGTGTCGCAATTTTCAAGTTTCATGGGAAACGGCGCCAGATAAAAAGTGGATAGTTTTTCGGCTTTTCCCAGGAGCCTTTGCTCTTATGTAAGCTAAAAAATATCGACAGGCATTTCAGGCTTTAATTGCTGCCAAATGTATCGGCAATTTAATTACAAAACGCTTTCGCTTTCCACCCGATACCAATTGGCGATTCGGGAGCGATAATTCCTGAGCGTGTAATTGTAAGTGGTATCCCCAACGATTTCCTTAAAAGCGCCGCGGCCAACGGCCAGACATTGAACTGGATTTGGTTTTGGGAGCTTGTTTTTGGGTCTTGGATAGCGTTTGGGGTTTGGGGCTTAAGTTTGGGAGAGCGTGGAAAATCGATCGAAAGCAAAAGTTGTCGGCGGGTGGCCTCGGGCCAGGCAGGGCAACCACATTGCTTGGATTTCCCCTAATTAGTTGCGACAAATCGAAACACATGTCGGATGAGATTATTATTTTAGATCGTTGGCTTGTAATTTGAATTAATTAATCAACTTAACTCTAGAAGCAAGCAAAGAGCTCTGGTAGCTTACCTGATCTGGTCGCAGTCCCGGCGGCACCCATGTGTACTCCTCCAGGGCGCAGCCACTGTCGTCATCCGACTGGGAGTTCCTCTGGAAGTCCAGCTGCTGGTGGTGGCTGTGGTGGAACCCATGACCCGCCACTGCCGCTGCCGTCTTGTAGCTGGCGGTTCGCAGGGGCGTGGCCACAGAGTTGAGCGGCAGGTGGCTGGGGGGCTGGCAGTGGCGGCGCTGTAGTGGCGACACGAAATGACCCGCCTGCCCCAGGGTACCCCCGCTGCTGCCACTGCCACTGCTGCTGCTGGCCGAGGGCGCATCCAGATTAGTGGTCGTGGCCGTGGAGGCCCCCTGGGAGGTGCTGTTGGCGGGGGCGAAGGTCAGACCTGTTCCGCCCGCCTCGATCTGCAGCAGCTCGCTCTCAGTCTGCGTGTAGTAGTTGCTGCTGGGCGGCTGGGGCTGGGTGGAGGGCTGCTGCATATTGCTGGTGGTGCGAGGTGCGGGTGTGGGCTTGTACTTGCTGACGGTTTGGCTGGGCTGGGTGCTGCAAAGAGGCGGAAACAAACGAGAAATCAATACGTGTTGTGGGGATTACAAAACCGTCATTAGTTATAGGTCTTTGGTTTCCGAAGGAGTAACACTTAAAGCTTAGGGCCTATCAAGTTCTCTAAATCATTAGAATTAGACCTCTAAAAAATGTATCTGGAAATCATTCTATCCCACTGCTGGCCGGCTTTTGAAATGACTTTTAAGTGCAATTACGGTCAGTGGATGGGGCAGCTGTTGCAGCTGCGCATGCGTGCAGTTTCCTCATCTGACGGATCTCCCAAATGGCAGCCACATAAGCGTCATAAAGTTTTGTTACTGCCCACTGCCCAGTGCGGCATCTGTGGCATCTTCTTTTCCCCGCTTTCGGTTGTTGTACTTTCACTCGATTTGTGGCACGCTGCGCGATTATGCAGCCATGCAGAGACAGAGGCCAAGACAGAGAAACTCCAGCATGTGGCACGGAGTGCTCAGAGTGCCTGGTCATGTTTCAGCCTCAACTCGATTTTTTTCCCTCTCAAACCTGCCCACTGCAATACATGTTGTAATTAAAGTCATTTGTTTGGCTCAACGTCGACCGATTGTGTGCGTTGTGTGTGTGTTTGAAATATTAAACTGTTTCATTCAAAAACGGTTCCATTTGTATATCAAATTGCACAACATACAGAGCATGAATAATAGCCGCACAAAGCGGCGGCAACAAAGGCTATTAGGCCGTCCAACGTTTTGATTTACTAATCAACGTGAGAAGAAACCGAGCTGGGGGAGACACCAATTTGCCAGGCCACCGAAAAGCGATTTGTCTACCCGTCTTCTGTAAATTTATGCAAATTAAAGACATCTCATCACAATCGGAGCTTAGCCTTCTGCTAATGAAGCAAAGCCCACAGAGGCAGCTCGCTGGAAAGTGAATGGTAGTACCGATGGGTGTATGTACGGCAAGGTACCTCATGGGTGACCAGGAGCCATTAACACCTCCGTGCAGTTCACAGATCACTCCACTCCGTTGAAATGCCCAGCGTGTGAGGCCATCCGCGAATGTGGAGAAAGTTTTATGGCTTTTTGGTGGTTTTCCAATGCAAATTTAATGTGTTTGGATACACAGACAAAAACCAGGTATCACCAATGGGCGATGATGACCTCCCTTAACTAACATTCATCATAAACTTGTTTTCCCTGAATGCCCATAGTGGCATTGATGGAACTTTTGGCAGTGTAGGCTTGGCGGTAGCCCCCCCTGGGCCAGTGCCAAAATAGTTGATCGATCACAGGGTACTTTCTAAACCTATTCGATCCACTCACCGCGATTGTCCAAACAAACAGCCAGAAGTCAGGGCGTATAATCTGTCACCCAATGAATTGGGAATTGGCTTAATGACTTTGATAGCTGGAAACAGCGACCAAGCGCCAGCAGATCAGATCAATTCAAATAAACACAGATCCCAAATACGGTTTTGGCCAGCCAGTCAGTCAGCCATTCAGTCAGTCGGGGCTACCAGAGACGGTTTTCTCTTTTCGGCCAAACGAATAACCGAAAAACCTGTTGACGGTTCGTGGATTCCACGGGTGCAGGCGATATTTCTGCAAGGCGAAAAATACGCAAAAATGCCAAAGACGACGCCTCATGACCAACTACGGTCCCTGGCTTGGACATGGCCATAAATTTGGGTTAAGAAGATTTTGAGTTTATTTGGTTTGATGTCTGTCATTTCCTTGATGGCTCGTCGCAATTGCGCACTTCTGAGGATAATTAAAAGTAAATTGTTTGACACTCAAATCGAATGGACTGGCTAACGAAATATGGCAATGCTATTCCGCAATCCGGTTTCCAGGCTTGGACATTTTGGCGTTTTCTAAGATACGTTTGGGATTTATCGGTTCAGGCCGTAAGTGGTTGGGTCGAATACTATGGAAATAATGGGGACATAACAAAGTAACTAGGCTGTAAAATTGCTTATAGATTTTAGTATGCATTGCCAACAGATACCATATCTCCAAGATTGCATCATCAAAACCAAGCCGATGCGAATCAATCGTATGTGCTGATCATTAGCGAACATTTCAATAGTTTCAGCACGTTTCGAGTGGCTGAAATGCCAAAACCCGGCTATAATAATATCTCAATTATCCGCAACACCACAGCATCGATAGCATTTCTATTCGATCCACAATGTTTCCACAGCATTTCCACGATTTCATTAAATTTTAGACACGCAGTTTCGCCAGAAAAAGCCGCAACAGGAACACGTAACTGGTTCAAAATCATTTAGGCTCTTCTCGCACCCCCTGAGGAGGAGAGGTGGTTTGAGGAAAACCCGTTTACCAGTAGGCTCGATTCTGGGAAATGCGGAATGCACTACGACACGGCAGTACACGGCAGCAATTGAAGCACTGGGAAATTAAATTAATACGTAACATGCAATTCTTAATAATTGAAAAGAGTCGAGAGGCAGCCAGTCCGCATTAAATTACTTTCACAATTGGTCGAAAGATAAACGCCTGGCTCGACGGGATTAAGCCTGGAATTAGGCCTAGTAATGCTTGATTATCCATGGCCAGCACACGATCTCTGATCTCCGATCTCCAATCTGGGATCTACAATCAGCGATCGGTAGTCCAGAATCGCATTTATTTCTGGCCCCAGGGGCGTGGCCGGAGCTGGGAAGGGCATGACTGGGCCGGGCCTATTATGAAATCTCGTTCAATGGCCCCCCCAACTCGTGACCTTGTTGCGTGTTTCATTGTCTGGCCCAAACGACTCCCAAATGAAGCCACTCGGGCCCGCAATCTACTTCTTTATGCAGCTGCCTTTCGGGTTAAACTGCCGCGTTTGACTGCCTTTACGTCACACACAAATAAATCCGAAAAAATACTAACGGATGGGGATCCGTCCGTGGCTATAAACAAAAACCGTACATACCGTACATGCCGAACATGCAATAGCGTCATATGTTGCACGTGTTGCTGTCGCTCAACATTTTTATGCATTCGTTCATGTTTTCTCCCTCAGCTTCTTCGCTTTCTTTATGGCCTTTTCTACGGACATGAGCACATTTTGTGTGCCTGTCTGCAACTCACTTTACCTGGGATTCGGGATTGGTACTGGGTAGTGGGTACTGGGTGCTGGGGTACTGGTGTACTGGAGACCCGTTGCACAAGTTCCTAGCCAGCTCCGCGAATGTGTGTGCTATCCGTGGAGCAACGCCTATTTAAGTACCGCGTGGTGATTTAGTGCAGCGTTACCGTTAGACGTTAGGAGCCAAGGCCTGGCCAATGCCTGGTGATAAGCCATAAGCCATAAGCATAAGGCCGATGTCTCGTCTGCCGGCTGCCACCAGGGGCGGCTGTGGAATGTGCACTTTCGGGAGGGGCTCTCCACTCAACGCTAATTCGAGCAGGATTGAATTTAAAAATTATTTATATAGAACTTGGATAGTTCTTTATTTATATCTTATTTAAAGATAGATGCTGGATGTCTGATGGGTAACTTTAACCCCCCATAACCCTCCCAGTTTCAGGTACGTGCTCTCGAAAAAGGAGCTCCACAGTCAACAACTTTGGCATCTGCATCTACAGCCTCGGTTTGGCTAAAATGCATAATTAATCGGTGGGGCAGAAACGGCTGAAGCGGCAGCCAGTGCTCTCGGCCAGCCCACACTGGCGATTTGCAAGCGAGCAGCTGCTCCTGTTGCATGTTGCATGTGCTGTGGCAAGTGCAGTGCAAGCCAAAAGCTCCACTCGAGTCGGGTTTTTGAGTCGAGTTTGAGCCAAGCTGATTCGCGTTCCGTCATTAACAGCTTTTGCTTAATTTTATGCACCACCCGAGCCACCTCCCCGTTGAATCCCTGGCCCCCTTGCCACGCTGTCAACAGCTGTAGACACGTTTCAGCGATTTCTGCATGTTGCATGGCTCGCTCTAATTTATGCAAAATGTTGTTCTTCTTCTGTAATTCACTTCGTGTATTCGCTGTTCCGCTACCAACTCTCTAGTTGGCCTCCGTTTTCGGCCTGGAATGCCTTTAAAGCGAACTTCAATACCAACCACTCTTCGGTCCCCCCCCATCTTGGCCAAGTTGATGGCCAAGTTTTTGCGAGCTGATTGTTTTGCTTTATTGATTTCCCAGGTTAAATGGGATTCTATATTTTGATGTCTTGTTACCACTCGTTTCCAGGCTGGCAATCATTGACTGGCATGTGTGCAACAAAATAATACAAAATAATACCATGCAACATGCCTCTTGAACTCGTTCCCAGCAGACAATTGAACCATTTAGTTAGCTGTGAATTCCTGGGTCATGGGGGGATAGGAGATTACTATCCAATGATACGAGTCTCCCACAGTTCTTAGACATAAATTAAATATCTTCTCTAATTTGATGTACTACTACTCTTAATGATGATGATGGCGATGCGGATGATGATTGAAGCCGGTGATAAATGTAATTGCTTTCTCGGCAACTATGTTGTGCTTCTCCATCAAATTAAGGCACATCAAAGCAAAGATTATATTTTGGGAACTTGAGAAGAAAACACCAGAGACATTGAGAGGGCAAGAGGCGCACAATAAGTTGATTAAATTAAAGTGCGTTAAAATCCTCAAAAATAATTGACACGGCCAAAGTCTGTGTCTGTTTCGGTTTGAGTTGGTGTGTCTGTTTTCGTAGAAATCGGAGAAGAACAAAAAGAATAATAAAGGCCCAAACAAAGAACGCAGCCATGGAGAGGGCCAAGAAAAAGCAGAACACAATTTATTGTCTGGCTCGTATGACAACCGAGCAGATCCAGCAGAGCATGAAACGCGAGCGGAGTTCCAAAGATGGATAGATGGATGATTGTATGGCCAACAACAACAGGTGGTGGTGGTGGTGTTGGTGGTGGTTGTACTGGTGGGCAGGGATCGAGCTTCGAAGGGAACTCGCTTCACCTGTTGGAACGTGGGAATCTAGTTTCGGCAGGCTGGTCAAAAAGCAATTACCGAAAATAATGTAAAGACTAAAC